CACCGAGGTATGCATATTCCCCCCTCCCCAATCCTAATTATCTCATTTGAAAATTGAAATTCTTCCATTCATCTTATTTTTCTTCCTTTTTTACAGTCTACATTTTCCTTTTTCATGATAGCAGCACAACATTGGGTTGCCGTTGCCGTAAATGTAGAAAATCGCGCCAGTTTTGTGTTCATTAAGGACTTCAGGATCGACAACAATGACTCTGCAATTTAGGAGATCAGGATCGCTTTCGAGAATCTTTAAGACCACCTTGATTTTTTCCATGTGAGCTTTGTTTTAATCTTTTTTGTCTACTTTGAGTTTGCTTGCGGTTTTAGTTTGGGTTTTTCTTTTTTATCTTTTTTTTGGCAATTAGAAATAAGCATAAAGAAATATCGTTTTCTATGTATAGTTAGTGAGTTGCATTGTAGTTCTTACTTTGCTGCTTGGTTCTTATTGGGTATATGTGATGGTTGGCCCAGGAAAAATGAAGATCAAAACGAATAATCAAGAGATATGTCAAGAGTTGGAATTACCATTTTTAGCAATTAAGAGATTATGTGGTGGTTGTTATATTAGCGTATTTTTTGTGATTTGAGTTCTTAATAGACTGCTTAATACCTATCATTTGTTATATTCCTTTTACATTTAATTACATGGCTTATTAATCTCCTAGGAGGTTTTGGCATAATTTTCAATATACTGAAGTAGATAACTCTTTATCTACAACAAAAGAGTAAATAACTAAATATTACTTTAGGTTGTGCATAGTAAAATATACTCTCAACTAGTAGGGCAAGAAATGAATGTACGGGGGCAGAGAAGTACATCAACTGGGATTGAATATTTGAGCTTTAACATATGCTTAGAGAGAGGCATCTAGGCCTCAAAACTGGTGCAGTTGTGCAAACTGTAGCCCGTTGCTGGTTTTATTCCCATGCCCCCCTCCACCTGAAATTGTACTTGTTCCAAAAAAAAAAAAGAAGGGAAAAACATGTTTATAGAGGGGGTAATTCATGTGAAGAGGCATTGGTTTCTCAGTTTTATAACTTGGATAAAAGATTTCATTTATTTGAGTCTCCAAGTCTACTATTATTTACGTGGTGTTTAGATTAATTATTTAGATATAATTAATTATTGATATTTAATAACTGATAATTATTATTATTTATAATTTAAAATATCTAATTTGTTTGATTAAAACTAATAAATAATAATTGTTTACAAAATAACAAAACAAACACCTCTTGGATAGTCTCAGTGTTATAGTACGCTAATTTAGTGCCTCTCGAAGAGAAAGCATCAGTTCTAATTCTCTTCAAGTAGCATAATATCTAAACACCTTTGTATTCGAGCATTTGAAGGAAACCAAAATTATTTTGGTGATCCATTTAGGAGCATGATTCTATGCTTCCACAAGAAAACACCCAAAATAGGTGTTTCCCTTTCCGGGCATTGATTCCAAAATGAAAAAGTGTTAGTGAGAACACTGAAAATCAAGCCACAGGTTAGGGAGAAGAATGCTATTTACTCTTATTTAAACATATTTTGTAGCTTTAATTTTATTCAACTCAAAGGAAGGTACAAGGAATTAAACAGATTTACAAATTCAGTGGCAAAAAATGGTAAGAGAATATATGCTACAGGACAACGAGGCATGAAATTTCAGCTAAACTTGACAAAGTGATCAGAAGGTTGAAGCTTCTAACAATCTCAGTCTCAGTCGAGCTGAGGGTTGGTGCATAGGAGGAAGAATGGCAAGCAGCAGCAGCAACTAAGTGAACTGCAGAGTTACCAATGACCATGGATACCTGTCTTTGGTTTCATTCTGAAGATATCTAAATGTTAAAGATTCAAATGGCTGAAACTCTTGATCTGTTAAGTTCTGAATCTAGTAGAGAATCCAATGTAGTCAAATAAAATACATAACTGGCTATTGGTAACTTGATTGAGGAGAAATATGAACAAGCCAGTCAGTTGGTCAAATATTCCACCAAGATTGACCCAGGTATTTTCTTCAAGAAGCAAGGAAAATGACAGGAATCTTCAGAATTCATGACTC